AACTTTCCTGCCAATAACACGACATAGAGAGAGCAGATGGTTATGTCAATCCTTAGACGATACACCATATTTCAGTCGGATAGACGAAAGACATGCGAGAAGGCTTCTCGGGAACGAAAGAAACGTGAACAAGATTCAATCACATTTGCGATCCCAAAGTAGTTCCTTTCTCGCCTGTGAAGCTGTCCCATCGAAGTACTTGACCAAAGGCGGTACGATCATACAAGCCATTATAAATGCACCAAAGATATATGCCAATACCGGCACAATAGAAGAGGGTAGAACACCAAAGTAAAGAGGCTCGAGAGCCAAAATAAACGGGATCGGAGTGGGTGAAGTCGGTTTCGAGGAGGCAAACGGCGTCAAAACACCGATGTCAACGAGACGAATGCGGGCATAGCGCAAGCGGATATGGGATGTAGACAATGGCGTTTGCGTTGTCAGAATCGAATTGTGTTCAAGGCCAAGGTGAGATTCAAATTGAACTGGGAGGCTTTCAGGACTGAATATTTCTAGAGAGAAATGAATTGGATACTGGCGTGAAACACGTTACAATGACTTGTCTAAGTAATATCAAAGATAACGAAACTCACGGATGCTGCCCATGAGAGTCGTAGTGTGAAGCTAGAATACGTGCTCCAATCGCGCGTCAGATCAAGTACCAGCCATAGCTGGTGCGGACATGCATAGTCAGCCACGTCAGAATTGCATACTTCCTGTGGAGGAGTTCCGAAAGGTGCAGGAAACACAGTCCATTCACGTTCACTGTGGGTATGGTTTAATCTTGGCCTCCATGCGTGTCAGCAAGGGAACTTTCATACATTGTTGACCTCCTCACCAACTGTTCGTAAAAGAAAGTTCTTGGTTATGAGATTCAAAAACGTGGAAGTTGACGATTTCAGTGTTGGCAAAGACTTGGAGAGATAGACAGAGGACCAACAAGGATTGGAACATGGCAAGATCACATTTCTCAGGATGATCGGGGTTCGAAATTTGAACGTTTGAGCGAAAGATGACATTTGCTGCCGAAGGCAGACATGAATAGGAAATTCGAAGTGTAAGGTATATGCGTGTAAAGTGAGCTAGTGCAATGCGAGAATAACAGAACGGCGTAGATGATATGGCGAGGTGAGATGGTATGTCCGATTAATGATGTACAACGAGCAGATAGATACAGGTGGTGAACTTCCAGGACCAATTGACAACCTTTAACAACCTTGAACATCAGAGGGTTGAATCATAAGAGTCGTAACACAAAGACCTATGTCTAGCAGATATAAAGTGCGAAGTTCAGATGGCTACATTCATGATTGCTTGATTGTCTATGCAATCAGTAAGTGACGTTAGCTAGTCAAATACCGGAATAAAGCTGGATATACCTTCACTGCTTCCCTAGTGACCGTTTTCTTCTTCTTCAAGTAGCGTAACACTTCCTTGATGTCGGACCAAAAAAACAAGGGTATGACAACAGCCATAACTGGCAAAGCAATTTCCCAGAAGCTATGTCACGAGAGTATGGAGCATGTAATCGATAAGCAAGAGAAAGGAGCTCACAATAGGTCGGAATGCTGATTCACTGCCCAAAACGTCGAGAAGTTCATACCCTGGCAAATGGATGTCAGCAATTTAAGAGTAACAGCCATTCCAAGTACATACGAAGTATCCTGTCAGTAATGTAAGGGGCAGGAAGATGATTGTTGCCAGAGTCAGGCGGCGCCTATCAACAGATGAATAATTGGAAATACGATGTAATGAAACAAGTTACATGACTTGATTCATCTCATACGAAGCGAGCTGCACATAGAAGTATGTCAGTTTCGACCAGAGAGGCAGAGGCATATAGCTCCGACATTAAAAGTGTACCCAATGAGATTTTCCGCGATCGCAGCGAACATGTCCAGACTGCTTAAAATATACTCCGTGTGGTCAAATACATCAGCCTGTCCAGATTCACGTCTCTTCAATACAACTTTGACGCGTGGTACGGAAGTTCTGACCGACATACCAAGTAAATTTTGGTCTTGTGGCTCATGAAACCGACAACCTTGACGTTGGCGTTTGCCGGGTCTGACATATCAATCAAAGCCTGGCAACGGTCGAGGTCATATCGTCTGAGACCATAGATCAAGGTTTTGATAGGTTCCAGGGTGCGTTTGTGCATAATAAGGTCACCGGAAAGAATGTGAACTGTTTTAGAAGCCGATGTAAGCTGTGCTCATTCCAAGGGTTGGAATGCAACGCACGGTATCGGACGGTCTGCACATTGGGCTTCATTAGAATGGCACGCTCAAACCTGTTGATTTTGGCATGGTATTCATCAATGACCTCAAGTGCATTGTCAACGACTAGTTTTTGAATTTCCGGTCATCACACGGTACACTGTAAAAGATTGGATAGGATACGTACTAAGATCCAGTAAGGCATGAACCAGGAGGGAGGGATCCGCAGAGTTTCGCAAGCCAGTATCTCGTTGGTGAAGCCTTGTGCTTACTGGAGAAGTGAGCTTGAGATTTGGGACAGGATGAATAGAGATCACAGTTCCTGGAATTGTTGTTCAGATTTGAAATAAAAGGAAGCGAATAGAAAAACGTACCATCTCTAAGCAAGAAGATGAACATTGGGGAGACGTTGACGTTGACTCTGTCACCCTGCAGCATCGGTTGAGACCTGACCTAGCAAGGGTACTAGAATACAGACCTGCTTGAGTGCTTCAAGGGTTATGTTAGTATTGGCTTGCTTTCGGCGCTGTGCAGCAGCCTACAGATGGATAAGCAGATCCAGATAAGACACGGAGCCAAGATCTCCTCACCCTGCTCATGAGCTGAGCCAAGCTAGATATGGAACCGCTCCTGTGAGCTAGAGTACCTTCCAAGTCATTGGGGGCAACGTGGAAAAGGGAGAGGAGGCGGCCCCGTTTTTTTTCTCTACCCGACGTAGTTTCATTGTCATACATCGTGTAATCGTCTTCTTCTCTTACGGCCTCCTTATCCAACCTGTCAGGGTCACTCATTGCAGAAGGGGTCTCGGAGCGAGGCCCGTCCATTAACATAGTTCCATAAGTCATAGAATCAGTACGGGCAGCAGCAGTTTCATCTTCCTGTCCAAGCACATGGCAGAGGACACGTAGAAAAAGATGCCTATTGTAGTAATCAGCCTTAGAGCGAGTTTGGCTCGGAGTATGGAATATATCCTCGAGAGAAAGTGGATGTAGGCCTTTCAAAGCATCAATGGTCGAACTTGCCTCGAGTATAACGTACGCACCATATTTGATTGAGACGGCTTTGAGGACATCCCAACTCATTCCACCAATATTTATCCATCTCACCTTCATCCACGGCTGTCTCTCGCTCGCAACGGGGTCATTCAGGAAGTCGATGAATTCCCTGTTAGTCATGCGATCGAAGCTACTGCGTACAGTGGAATAGTTGATGACTTCAATCACACAGTCCTGCCGTATATGACCATAAAGAAGGTTTGCCGACGCGCGTCGTGGGTTTACACCGGGCTCTGCGCCGACACGTGCTACATTTCCCGCGAGATACGAGGCACCTCGATGCAGTGCCATGACCTTGCGCACGACCGAACGAAATCTTTCAATGGGTGTGTGAACATTGCCATTCTTCGGCCAAGGTCGATTGTTCTGTGATATTGGGGACCTCGATTCGATTTTCGAAAGCCGCTTCGAGGGCGACCGGGGATGTACTGAGATGGGCTGATTCATGGGAGGAGAGTATGTCGGAGCCTGTACGTTTGGCAACGCTGAGGAAGTTGGATCCTCGATTTCATCAAGGTCTGGCGTTAATGACCGGCCTTCAGAGTCCGAGAAGCTGTTCTCGCGAGGCATGGTAGCAAAGAAAGAGTGGTAGGACGTTGCCCAAAAATACGAAGGCAAAGGTCAGGGAGCTCACTGCGATCAGTTAGGGGACTGAGGTCACGACATATGCCAGAAGTGAACACTCGTATAAGTATCTCATGGCTTCTGACAGGCCTGCACCCATGAGGCAACGCAAAGATGATTGCGGCGATCACGAAGTTTTCTCATCATCAGCATCGCCATGGCAAGTTTAAAGCTCTCAACATGCAGCTAGAATCTTGGCACGTTCGTTGATCATGAGAATGACTTCATAAATAAAGGACTTGAAAAAGGTCACGTACCGTTGGCAGTCTCGCATACCCCGGTTGAGTCTATGTAGTGGGACCAAGGCCATTGTGGAAAAGGACGGGTCAGATCTATCTATGTCACAGATGCTGATGTTAGATGAATGATGTCAAGGACCAACCTCCTGGAACAGTGATAGTCATCCTTGCACGGCATGTTCACTTGCTACTTGTTGCAGCAGAACACAAGTATAGAAATGAAAACTTTATACTCCTATCTCGACCACAGTGCGCATCCTGTACCAGCCAGGATTTGTTTCTTTGTCCAGCCCAACGTCTCACCTATACGAGGGGCGCTGTTATCATTCAACCCAAATTCAACCTCATCAACTGGCACGTTTCGGCATATCATTGATTAGTTCGCAACAGGCGTGCGCTGATGCGGAGAAGCAGATACCAGATTGGGATTGAGATAAACGGGGTGCGTGGATGCTTGGGGGGAATGGGTCCTAGGAACTGTGTATCTTCCTTCAGAGATAAAAATACAATGGTATTGAAGTTGTCGTGTTCTTCAATATGAAACATATTAACATAGCCCACCGCGAGGGTCGAACTCGCAGCCTTCAGATGATGTTTCTTAAAAGTCTGACGCTCTGGCCGATTGAGCTAGGCGGGCGACATAAGATTGAAA